TCTTAACTGTCAAATGCATTTCCCCCACAGGAGTACCATGCACGACTGTGTGTTTTAGTATCAATAAAAGAAAAATTACTCCATATGATCCATCATGGGAGAAGAAATGGTTTTCATAAATGCATGTCATCCCATGAGATGAAAGTGAATTTCCAATATCTCTAATCCAGGATTGAAAATAAGTTTGATTAGTATGCAAGTGGTTAAGAGGAACACTGTTCATATCTCAGAGGGAACAGAAAGCTTATCAGGGTGTGCTTTATAATTTTCATAGGGATGTTGAAATCAAAGGAAGAGAAACTCCAGAAAACGAATAGAAGGAACAAGTTGTCCTTCTAAAATCAGATGAAAATATTGTAACTTTTTGCCCTGAGGCTTTGAGCTCTGTGATCCAAAAAAAACTTTCCGACCCAGCAACATGGACCCTTTTAAAGTTTTATCTTGAAATTTTTTTCAGAGCTCTCTTGATGTCTCTATTCCTCAGACTATAGATGAAGGGGTTCATCATGGGGGTGAACACTGTGTACATCACCGAGGCTGTGGCAGTAGAGCATGAGTTTGGGGTCACAGCAGAACTAAAGTCCACCCCCAGGAAGGTGCTATAAAATAAGGAATCACGAAAGGTGAGACACACATGTGGAAAATGCTATCTTATCAGCTCAGGTAAATGATAATTTGCCTGAGCTGATAAGATAGCACTCATGGAAGACACTATTCTGGAGTAATAGTAACAGATACACATGAGGGGGCCTCGATCCAGTACCAAAGGTGCAAAATACATCACTGTGTCATTATGAAAAGTGTCAGAGCAGCAAGTAGGACCAGTTGATTCAGTTCACAAAGTGTGGGATTTCCAGGTCTGTGCAGAAGGACAGCCACAATGCCATTAAAGTTTCTAGTAAGGAATTCAGGACATTTGTGACCCAGCATGCCAGCACCAGCACTCCACAGACCCTGTGGTTCACGATGACAATGCAGTGCAGGGGGTGGCAGATGGCCACATAC